GGGGCCATTTTGGGGAGGTAGCAAGTCGGGACAGGCTGGGTCTGATTAGTTATGGGGGTATTTGACGTTACTGGTTGCTCAGTTACGCGGGCTGGCTCCGTATGCATGAGACAGTTCGGAGCCGCGGAGAACCTAACGGGTAACCGGGGCTCCGGCTCGACGTGCAGGAGAAGGAACGGGGTGGTTTTTAGTCAGTAAGAGTCTGACACTCCCTCCGCCCTCACCCAGGCGGGGGCAGTCATTCGATGATTTTCCCCCCTTAAAAAAAATGCATGAGACAGGGGGGGGTTTGTGTTTCCTAAGAGTACTAGTTTCCCTACGGCTTTCCTGTAGGAGGATGGTGGTGGGGCCGTCTTGTGCGGGATATTTGAGAAGGGTTGTGATACAACGGTTCTTTGCTACGAGGCCGTATAATTGACATTTATGGTATTACGCCATGTTTCTATTTTTGTGGGGTCTCTCCACTTTGAGGCCGGAGAGCCCACAAATTTTTGTGATCGAAAACACCGAGTGGTGTTTTTCGGTGGGAACGCACGATGCGACGTTATAACGGGTCTCGTCTTTCTTGAACATCCTATGTGTATGGATGACTGGATGGAACCCCTTGGTCCCGAAGGTCTTCGGAAATCTCCTTTTCGGGGTTCGGTCGTGGCGGGGCGGTCTTTTTTGATGGTGTAAGAATGATATGGGACATTTCTCCAGGGCGCTTAAAGCCCTGCAGTCCCCGTTGGTTGGGACTAGAATTTTAATGCCCTGCTCGACGGCGCGGGCGTGGGTGTAGGCGATGCAATTTTCAGCGCATGTCTTGGATTTGTCTATCCACACCCCTTAGTTTTGGATGTCGTGGAGGAAAGATTGTTTGAGCACTGGGGCGCTCGAAGAGGCCTGTGGGGCCGGAAGGGGGGACTCGGGGGTCTGAGAGGCAAGGGGGGTTTGGGAAGGCTGGGGGGCAAGTGGGACTTGGAGGTCGAGGGGGTTGAGGGCTGCGAGCACACTGCCATTGGGCTGGCGGGTCTGATTTCCGTCGTCGCCTTCTTGGTCTTGGGGGTGGGGACTGAGGACAGAGGCTTCTTCTTCCTCTTGCCCTGCACCAAGGTAAATTCTTGATCATCTGATGAGAGGTCATCGGATGCTGAGGGAGGCGAGGGTGTCTGGTCCTTTGAAGGAGGACCTTCCGGTGGACAGGAGAACCTGAGGGGGGCGGTGCTTCTCCACCTTGAGGCCGGAGAGCCCACAAATTTTTGTGATGGGAAACACCGGGTGGTGTTTTTCGGTGGGAGCGCACGAAGCGACCACCATGTTATAGCGGGTCCCGTCCTTATTGTACATCCTATGTATATGGATGACTGGGACTCCTTGGTCCTGAAGGTCTTGGGAGATCTCTTGTTCGGGGATTTCCGACGGGATATTTTTTGAAAACCACCTGGACGGGGCGGTCTTCTTTAATCGTGTAGGAGTGATAGGAGACTTTTCTTCCTTTTCGCTTAAAGCCCTGAAGTCCTCGTTGGTAGGGACTACTACCTTTATGCCCTGCTCGACGGCGCGGGCGTAGGTGTAGGCGATGCGCTTTTCCGCACATGCCTTGGACACGTCTGTCCACACCCCTTTGTCGTGGATGAAAAGGGGCGGGGGGAGAGATTGTTTGCGCACAGGGGCGCTCGAAGTGGCCTGTGAGGCTGGGGGAGCTCGGGGGTCCTGAGAGGCAGGAGACTTGGGAGGGCTGGGAGGGCGAGGGGGCTTCGGGGCTTGAGAGGTCGAGGGGTTTGAGGGCTGCGAGCACACTGCCATTTGGCTGGCGGGTCTGTGTTCCGCCGGGGAGGTAGCCTTCTTGGCCTTGGGGGTGGGGACTGATGGCATAAGCTTCTTCTTCCGCTTGCCCTACACCAAGGTAAATTCTTGATCATCCGATGAGAGGTCATTGGATGATGATGATTGAGGGAGGCGAGGGTGTCTGGTCCTTTGAAGGAGGACTTTCCGGTGGAGAGGAGAACCGGAGGGAGGCGGTGCCTGACCGGTGGTGAGGGGGGGAGTCGGCACGCAAGCGCGGTGGAGTCCGCGATCTGTTATGGGGGGGAGGGTCTGGTTTGGATGGAATCCGAAGTCCGTCAATAACTCTTGAAGGCGAGCGATGAATATTGTTTGGAGGTCTGGCCTTGCGGCCAGGCTCCCTATGATGCCCTCCAGCTAGTCTTTAGACATTGCGGAGGCGAAGGGGGGATCTTTACAAAGCTACCCTACGGCAGTTCCCAAGGAAAACCTTTCCTAGCACTCGCTCGAGAAGAAAGCGCCAAACAAATTCGGGCGACGCTGCTGCCGGTGGCCTGAAGGGCCCTAGTTCATATCCCTCTTAGTGGGATAAACCCAGTGGTGTGTAGCCTCACTGCCGGGTGTAGGCAGTGAGGTGAGTGCCTACGGTGTGCCCTAAGCTTTTAGCATCCGTTGCCAATCTTAATGTGCACCGGGTCCCTATGCGCCTTTACACGAGTGTGTTAAGGCGGAGCTGTAGAGAAAGCGGGTTAGAGGCTGGGTACAGCTAGGGGAGCCCCCAGACCTGTGGTCGCAGCGCCCTTCCGAATTTTTTGGCGCTGCCCTGAAGGGACAGACGGCGGTGGGCTCGGGGTACACACCACCTGGGTTGTTATCACCGTTAGGTTACCCCCAGGTACCGCTAAACCACGGATTTGAAACAAAGGGCGGACGAATGTTGAAGAGAAACCAGAGTGCCGTGCTAGCGCCTTGAAAAAGGCGTGCACTGGCGATAGTAGCGGTGCTGCGAGTCGATGTGCGACGTAGCGGCGGAGCGAGCACTTAGCGCGCTGTCTGGCCGCGGGGTGCTGCGGCGGGGCTGGAGCTCGGAGCGTGGGAGCGTGCGCTCGCGGCGGGAGCCTGAAGCGGAGTGTTGTGTGTGCGAGGCCCAAATCATTCCTCTTCGTTGCCCAAAATGTACCCGTGTTCGGGCAGTGGACCACCCAGGAAGGCATCGACGGGTTGAAAGTCCATCGGGCGCACCCACGCTTCGGCGTCGTAATGGACGATACCATCAATGGTGTGTACGAACATTATGATTTCCTCGCCTTGACATTGAAGAGAAATTAAATATCTACACTACAAGCTAAAATGTTCTTTATCGAAGTCGTACATAAGTAATTGAATAGCAACAAATTACCGCTATTATCCTTAGAAAGAAATTTAGCTTGGCAGGAACACCCATTTCCATCCTATCTGCAAATTTGATATAGAAAACGAAACGAAAGGAAAAAGCATTTATATGTTTAACTTTAAATAAGAAAATAACTTAGGTGGAGTAACTGCCCCGCTGCACTCCGGCGCGGCATCAGGGCTTCTAGTTAGAAGTAAATGGCAACGATACGTGTGAGCGAAGTTTTTTTTTTTTTAGGTTAGGACCACTCGTAATTCACCACGCTAAGGCTGATGACTACTTAATCGGACAAACCCTTCGGTGGCCACTAACAAAAAGTTAAGGCCCCCAACCAAGGCAGCTAAGTTGAAATCAAAATCAAAATTACCGCATCGCTGGGGGCACCCCTTGTGGGGGGGGGGGCAGCAAGTCGGGACAGTACATCTTCGGACATTTATAATATGCCCCGTCTTTGAAAAAAGTCGCTCGCATGGAACAGACGTTGCCACAATGTCTCATTTTTTAAATATGCTCCTATTTCGCGTGCTATTCGGATTATTAATAGTGTACCGGAGCATGATTTGTTCCACAACCTACCAAGGTTTATTGAAGCAGTGCAAAGGCATATTGAATATCACCGTATTGAGTAATTGGGTCTGTATGGTTATAATATGTATGTCATACTGAGAGTATGTAACTCTTATAAATCTAATAATTAAGGTGAAATTTTTATTAATCAAGTTACGTGTTAGACTTAAATATGTCAGGAAATGTGATATTGCATTGGAATAAACTGTAAGATGTCACATTGTAAGGTGTTATAATAAATAAATAAATAAAATTTTGTTCTGAAATTATGCGATAGATGAGGGTAAATAACTTAATGATCCCTCCACCATTGCGATGGGCTATTCCATTTGCCTTCGATGTTCATGCGAGGTAACATCTCGTCATCCAGGTGCATGTGGAGTTCTCTAATGGCTCTAGCTTGGGCATTGCCGTGGGGCTTATTTTTTTGCAAAAGTTCGTCGAATTTGTCCCAAGCGCTAACCTTTCCAAGATTAACAGTTTTCTCTTCATTTACCGTAATGGATTCTGTCAATTGGTTTTTATTGATAATTCCAATTATTAAATTGTGCACATGTCTTTTTAATTCTGAAACAGCTTGCTCATTTTTGTAACATAGTATTTTAAACCTAGGGTTTAATAGCGTATAAAAGCCTACCCTACCTTACCCTAGACGTTTTACTATTCTACGCCGGAAAAACGATCTCTCAAACCTTCTTGTAGTGATGTTATCACATCCACTACTACCGGACAGAAGAGCTTGTACTCCTCTTCATTTAGAAAATCATCACAAACTTCTTTTAAACAGTTTGGGTCAGAGTGTAGCAAAGGGTGTGCAAGGGACTTATTAACGTATAGAACACAAAAAAAGAATTGAAATTTCCATTGGAACTTTTTAGCTGAAGTTAATAAAAAAAAATCATAGAGAAATTCCCGACACGTCTTGAGCGTGTGCCCGCGCGACCCGGTGTCTGCGTGATATCGATGTTTTTGCCAAATTTCGGCAAGTCGATGTAAGCGACGCATTTCTGAGCAAATTTTGCTCTCAAATTTCGATTTGTTTGTGCGTTTGGTGTTTGAAAGTATTCTTTGCGATCGTAGATTTATAGTTTTTCTTATTTTAGTATTCTTTATAGTTTAATTGTTCCTTTTTTTAATATTTTTAATAGTTAGTAAGTACGTAGTTAGTTTATTAGTTAGAAGTAGATTTTAGTTTTAGATTTAAGTTTTCTTATTATTTTATTTTAGTTTTACAGTAGATTTAAGTTTCATTTTTATTATATTATATATATTTTTAATTTAACATGGACCCGCTGCAGTTGATTTTGGCGCGCAATTTCAATTTATGGACTTACGCTTGCGCAATTCTTAATGAGGAGACTGCGGTGACTGCAGCCAAAGCGTGGCTGCTTATTCCAGCCCGGACGCCTAGGTGTCCAACATGCAGAGGCCCCATGTCTAGAGAGACCAAAATGAGTTACAAGCTTAAGTACCGATTAAGGTGCTGGAGGTGTGCTAGGGAGGGCAGGCCGTCCATTAGGTCCCCTCTTAAAAATACGTTTTTTGAGAGGGCCCACGTTAGCGTGTTAAACACGCTACGTCTTATGGTACATTTCTTGAGAAAGGATAAAGTGTCGCAGGCGGCAAAAGATGTTGGGGTTACAAAGAAAACGGCAATCCAAACATATCATTACCTAAGAGAGGTGTGCGAGGTGGCAGAAGCCCACGACAGAGACTTGTTAGGCGGAAGCAACGACGTAGTAGAAATAGACGAGACACATTTGTATACAAGAAAATACCATAGGGGCCGGCTGTTAAGGCGGCAAACATGGTCGTTTGGGTGCATAAGCCGCCTTACCAGACAAATACACGTAGAGCTAATCCCAAACAAAGCGCGTACGACTCTGGACCCTATAGTGGAGGCAAACGTTCGCACAGGGTCGTACATTATGTCCGACATGCACCGCGCCTACAATAATATACATTTACGGTTGGGCATGAGGGGTCACTCAGCTGTCAACCACAGCCTGAACTTTGTCGGGGGCACGGTTGACATTCCCGTAGATACCTCCCTGGGGGTACCGGCTCCAGGTGGGAACGTAAAGGTAAAAATCCACACCAACACCCTGGAGAGGCAGTGGCTAGAACTAAAAAGGCATTGTCGGACATGTCGAAGCCAGCGTCGCCTTAAGTGGTACATGGGAGAATACATGTACCGCCACAACATTTTAAGACAGCTCCCATCAGACGCGGCTCGATTTCGCCGGCTACTAAGGGATATGCATAGGGTCTATCCCGGTTTAGGGAAAAGGGGCATCAAGAGTAGAAACTGCCGGTGTAGCAGCCCCAATTGTCGCCGTCGCAATTAAAATCTTTTTTCGTGCACCCGGTACGAGTAATCTGCCGCCTGCGACCGACGACGCCATTAATGTAGCCGTCATTTTTACAGCACCTCCACCCCCACGGTATTCGGCCTCCACAAATTTCCCTCTCGAGTCTCTGACCCCTCATGCTACCCCCCTATGCTACTACAAGTCCGGCGCCCCTCGCACACCTCGTAGGTTACCACACCACCTATCCATTATATTATCCCGCTTTTATCGGAGAACGGCTGACGATAGACGAAAACTGATCATAGCGAAAAGTGTTTGTTTTTCATTCCTCTACACGATAGAAATCAAAACGAGGGAATATTGTGTAAAAAAAATTTTGGTCGAAAAGTGTTTTCACCAAGCGACTTTCAGAGCTCATTTTCAGGCGAACGTGAAGTCCTAGACAAAAAGTGCTCAGATGACTTTCGCTTTATTTTTAGGTGTACTAAGCGATGGAAAAAGAAAACTAGGCATTTTTAAGAATTTTAATTTTTTTGAAAAATTTTCTTTTAAAAAGTCCCAAATCCCTTGCACACCCTTAAGTAAATGGCCCGCGTCAAATCATGAAAAAATTACAAGTCCCTGGACGCTTCTACTGCTAATATCTGTCGATTGCTAACTCGTACCGTACTCGTACCAGGGTGTTGGGGTGTTTTTAATATCGTGCGGATATCATCACGCGTGCGGGATTGCCCCGCATGCGTAAGCCCCGCAAATGTCCTTTTCATAAAAGTATTTATTATAATGCGTGGAATACGGACGCGGGACTATAGACTATCGGGTTTCACGCTGCGTGAAATTTTCTGCATGCGGGGCAATACCGCACGCGTGATGAAATCCGCACGATATTAAAAACACCCTTGGTGTGGATTTTTACCTTTACGTTCCCACCTGGAGCCGGTACCCCCAGGGAGGTATCTACGGGAATGTCAACCGTGCCCCCGACAAAGTTCAGGCTGTGGTTGACAGCTGAGTGACCCCTCATGCCCAACCGTAAATGTATATTATTGTAGGCGCGGTGCATGTCGGACATAATGTACGACCCTGTGCGAACGTTTGCCTCCACTATAGGGTCCAGAGTCGTACGCGCTTTGTTTGGGATTAGCTCTACGTGTATTTGTCTGGTAAGGCGGCTTATGCACCCAAACGACCATGTTTGCCGCCTTAACAGCCGGCCCCTATGGTATTTTCTTGTATACAAATGTGTCTCGTCTATTTCTACTACGTCGTTGCTTCCGCCTAACAAGTCTCTGTCGTGGGCTTCTGCCACCTCGCACACCTCTCTTAGGTAATGATATGTTTGGATTGCCGTTTTCTTTGTAACCCCAACATCTTTTGCCATGCCAAATGTACCATAAGACGTAGCGTGTTTGACACGCTAACGTGGGCCCTCTCAAAAAACGTATTTTTAAGAGACCTAATGGACGGCCTGCCCTCCCTAGCACACCTCTAGCACCTTAATCGGTACTTAAGCTTGTAGCTCATTTTGATTGAATTTCTCTAGATCTCATTTTGAATTCGCAGGCGAGAGGAGCTCTAAATGTGGCGTACTTACGTACGGGCGCTCACCACTGCTCTATAAGCAGAGTCTATGTGATGTCGCAGTGATGTCCCAACACACAGGTGTGGATCGTTATGTTTGAGAGAAAGGGAAGGAAACAACGCTTCTGTTTTGGGTTGAACGGTCGATCGCCGTTAGTTCGTCGTCGGTGTTTCGAAGTACCATTAACTGTAGCCGTAGGTAGGTGAGTACTGCTCCGAGTACTCCGATGATTTCCGAAGTGGACCGATGATGATTTCCGATGAAGTTAGCTTCTGTCTTGGCTACGATCACGAAGATTTTCGTGTCTATAAGGTACTTCGAAACTTTACCGTGACGAGACCAGTGAAATCGACCCGTTCGAACAAACGATTTTTTGTTTATTATTTAGTGCCTAAATATAAAATGTAAGGTATCTTCAAGAATGACGAACTTCATACAAACTTTCAACCCCTATTTCATCCCCTCACAGGTCGAAATTTCAAAAACGCTAGAACAAATGTTTTATTATTTTTTATCAAGTGCTCTAAATATAAAGTTTCATGGTTTTATCTTTAAAAAATATGAAATCCCATACAACTCCCCCCCCCCCCTTTTAACCCCTTACAACCCCTTTTTCGCGATAAAAAGTAGCCCATGTTTTATCTCGGGGTCTAGAATATCTGTATACCAAATTTCATTCAAATCCGTTCAGTAGTTTTGGCGTGAAAGAGTAGCAGACAGACAGACAGAGTTACTTTCGCATTTATAATTTATATATATAATATTAATATATATATATATAGTTAGGATTAACATTTTTTTTGTTATTTAGAGAATTGTTGCCCTACACTCGGATTATCTCCTGTGTCGTGGGTGCGTTTACAAACATACAAGTTCACATACACATGACACCCAGACTCGAAACAACAATTTGTGGATCACACAAAGTGTTGTTTCGTGCGGGGATCGAACTCGCGACACGTTGCATGGCAGCCGGTTGCCCAGCCACCGCAACAACCGTGCAGTATTTACCATTTATGTGTATCGTTAAATTCTACAGAGCTACAGTAAACGTAGGCGCTTGTGGTCATACGCTAAAATCTGATCTGGGAGTAAAGGCAGATTCACACTGAGTCAATGGCTGTGGCTGAACGTAGTCCGCCTTCGATCGACCATCTTCTTCGTAGTCTGAGCCTAGTATATTCCTAGGCGTTCTGTAGTTCCAACTCTGCCAACTGTACTAAGCCGCTACACATCTTAATGTAGTAGGTATAAGTATTAGTTTAGCAGTATATATTATGTAGTATGTATGTCTATTTAGATTTATAATATATCATATGGTTATATTTATTGTATAGGTTTTTATGTGTGTAGTATGCATATTATATAATATTAATTATTTCTTTTTATTGTGTTCTGGCTTCGCATCAACCGCTTCACTTCTCTGCACTTTCCTATGGTTGTCAGAGAATGCCTTAAGGCATTAAGTCCGCCATTCACTGTCATCTTTGGTGAAGAAGTAATAAATAAATAAATAAATAAAATCTTCGCTTGCGTTCATGGCTTTCTTGTTGCTTTTTACTGATCAGCTAGTCTGTCCGTGCGGATCTACTGCTGTACTGTACTGTGCGGGAAGGTGCGTATTGAGAACGCAGCTGGCCTCGGTGTTCTGGTTCTTAGGCCTAAGTACGAGTTTGATTTACGTTTAAAGTATTCGAAACGAGTACGCGTTCGGCATTCTGATTGGCAGGCGCCAATAAATCAACAAATTAGAGCGCCAAACGAGGTCTCGTTACGAATACTTTAAACGTAATAAAAACTTGTACTAAGGCCTCTGTTCTCTATCTCCTTGGGTTGAGTGAATTGAGTGCAGACCTTGAATATTTGAGAGGTGCACTTTGAGGGAACGTGCTGCCGCTGTTGAACCCTTTTCTTATTTCTCGATGTCATTATTAGTAGAGTGGAAGTTTGTTGAGTGGATGGTAGCGAAATGGTCCATACAGGTGACCTCTTGACGCGCACCGCAGTTAGCTACACCATTAGGAGGCCATGCAGTCTGGTAATTGCGGGAACGGGCTCTCCCCCCCCCCCCCCGGACAAAGTATCCCCCCCCCCCCCCAATAGATATCCACCGGGCTCTCTCCTCCCATCGATTAATATAAGTAGTAGTGATGTTCATGTTAAAAAAATATCGATATTATTTTCGATATAATATATCGTAATGTTCTATCGATACTTTGCGATATATCGAACATATATATCGATATTTTTAAAATATCGTAAGTAATATCCTACTTACTTACTCTAATAAACTAGTTTCTAATATTAAATAGGGAAGGTTGATATTATTAATATGAGTCACAACATCTAGAATAAATCAACTTTATTTATATGTATATCATGCAAATGAAATCAATGGCCATACGACCCAAAAGTGAAAGATTTATAAATCCCAGTATTTCTTCTCTAAGTTTTACAAAAACAAAATTTTATTGACCCTTTTGGCTTGCAATCTGCTTCTCTGCTGTGTAAGAACCTGTGCGGCTTTTGAGAAAAGCCGTTCAGATGGAACTGAGCTAGCCACCATAGTGAAATATTTAAAAGCCACATTGTATAACGTTGGGAACTGTATTTTATAGTCTGCCCACACTTCTAATGGGTTTTCGTTAAATCTACTCACTGGAGTCACCAAATAAAGCGATAACTCATCTGAAAGACTTTCATTGGTATTATTTGTTTTCCAATTTCGTTGTACCAGTTTATGGTGATGTAAGGTGGAAAATCATCAATGACTGCTCCGCCTGGGTGAGGCGGGAGGTGTCAGACTCTTACTGACTAAAAACCACCCCGTTCCTTCTCCTGCACGTCGAGTCGGAGCCGAATAAAACAAAGAGTTAGGCTTTGTATAGGTATATGATGTCAGTAACAGTTCACGTGTTTATTACATGCCAAAAGAAATGTAGGTATATTAAACTTACCACTCTGTCTCTAAATCACTATCCATATTGTTATTTTTATTAGCAGCAGCCACAATCTTTTTCGAACGGTAAAATTCCATTTGTCGATTCATTTTTTGAAGTATAAACTAAAACAGGGACACAAGTTACTTCGTTCGCGCAATGACGCCGAATGAAGCACGAGCGAGTGATACGTGTGTGGCTTGCTGCGGATCCCCCCGCCCTACCCCGCCCTTCGTTTATATTGGATTCTTGATTTCAAAAACCTAGTAAGGTGCAACGACCATTTAAAAACCTAGTAAGTCCAGAGACTTACTAGGTTTTAATTTGGTCACAAGGGAGTGGATAGTGCACTTACTAGGTATCGATGCTTAAATATATCTGCTTTTAAGTGAGTTTTTAACGCTGATGTTTTTGTATTCGGTAGGGACTTACTAGGTTAGGAAGATTATGCAATAAAACGAATTTACTAGGTTTTGAAATGGGGCAGCCGAGCTAGGAGAGTCTCTAGAACTGTGGTCCCACCGCCCTTACGAATTTTGACGTTGAAGTCGGGTCGCGAACAAACGCCCCGGTGAAGTCGGGTCACACACCACCTGGGTTGTTGACACCGTCAGGTTACCCCCAGGTACCGCTATACTGCGGTTTTTT